CCCACTTGTTGTTCGCCCGTTCATTGGCTGCGGGCGGTGTGGGGGGAGCTCGGAGGGTTGCGATCCCGTAGCCGGTCCCGGTCCGGTACGGGCGCGACACTGAGGGTTGCGATCCGTTGCCGGTCACGAAAAAAGACAAAAAAAAAAGAAGGATTAAACTTCAAGAAAACAGCAAAAGAAATGCAAGAACAGAACAAAGTAAGTCAGGGGATTGCAAAGACCAATTGCAAAAAGCAGGAGTATAGATTCTTTAATGACTTTATCTGCGACGACTGTGTGAATTTTTCACAAGAGTATTAATACACAGTAAAAATCTTAAAAAAAAAAAAAGCTAAAAACAGAATATAGAAAGCAGAAAAAAAAGTGACTCATGTAACAAGGGATCTGTGACACCAGCAAATTTCTCAGCAGAAACATTGGCCATAAGGCAATGGGATGATTTAAAGTGCTGTGATATCAACCGAGAATTCTGTATCCAGCAAAACTGCCCTTCAAAAATGAAAGAGAAATTAAGATATTCCAGATAAATAAAAGCTGAGGGAGTTCCTTACCACTAAACATGCCCTACACAAAATGCTAAAGTGAGTCCTTCGTTGAGTGAAAGAATGCTAAACAGTAACTTGTCATACAAAAAATATAAAGCTCTCCTGTAAAAGTAAATATGAGGGTACTTCAAAAAGTTCATGGAAAGATTCCTATTATCTTTTATTTCTATTTTCCTATGAACTTTCTAAAGTACCCTTGTACATGGACAAATATAAAAACCAGTATTACTGTAATTTTGGTTGGTAATCCTAGTTTTTAATTCTACAAGATGTAAGAGACAAAAGCATTAAAAAATTTTGTGGATCCATGTTAATGGGCACACAATAAATAAAAACATAATTTGTAACTCCAATAACATAGTGTGAAGGGGTAGAACCTTAAAGCAGAATTTCTTTCTGCAATTAAAGTTAAGTTTATAACAGTTTAAAATAGAAAATATCTACAGAATATACACAAAAAGAAATGAGAAGAGAATCAAAATGTCATTATAAAAAATCAACCCAAGAGCCAGCTGGGGGCTCACTTGGGAGAGTGTGGTGCTGATAACACCAAGGCCATGGGTTCAGATCCCTATATAGGGGATGGCCAGTTAGCTCATTTCAGAGAGCGTGGTGCTGACAACACCAAGTCAAGGGTTAAGATCCCCTTACCAGTCATCTTTAAAAAAAAAAAAAAATCAACACAAAGGAAGATCAATACAGGGACACAGAAGTAAGACATATAGAAAACAACAAAATGACAAAGATATATTGGTAGAATGAATAAAAAACAATCCAACTTATGCTGTCTACAAGAGACTCACTTTATATCTGAGAATATGCATAGGTTGAAAGTGAAAGGACAGAGAAAGATATTCCATGCTAATTGTAACCAAGAAAGAAGGGTGTAGCTATATTAATATCAGACAAAAGATTTATAAGATACAAAGAAGGACATTCTATAATGATGAAAGGTCAATTCATCAATAAGATATAACAATTAAAACTGAGTACTTGCCAGACATTCGTGTTCCTAAATAAATGAAGCAAACAATGACAGAAGGAAGGGAGAAATAGATGGTTCTACAATAATATTACAGACTGCATACCCCACTTTCAACAATGGATAGAACAGGACTTCCGGTAAAGATGGAGGAATAGATGGCCCCCAGCATCACTCTCTCCCCCAAATCAACCAATTTACAACTATAAAAAAGCAACGACAGCCAAGCTGGAGCCACTAGAGCTCATGGGAAGAGGAGGAGAGACCTACAGAGTGCATGAAGGGGGGAGAAGCCACGATGAGAGAAAGAAATGAGAGAAAGAAAGAACAGTTCTGACCGTTTTGAGCCCCTGCCACTTCCAGGATGGAGCTGCTGAGTGCATGGAGCAGGAGCCAGAAAGAGCTGCAGCTAAGGACCGGCTCGTGGCTCACTTGGGAGAGTGTGGTGCTAATAACACCAAGGCGACGGGTTTGGATCCCTATATAAGAATGGCCAGTTAGCTCACTTTAGAGAGCGTGGTGCTAACAACACCAAGTCAAGGGTTAAGATCCCCTTACTGGTCATCTTTAAAAAAGAAAAAAAAAAAAAAGCTGCAGCTATGTCCTTTGGATGAAGTTGCTTGGAGGTGGAAGGGGAGAAGAGGGCCTTGGAGGCCCCCAGGCCAGCAAGACCACTAATAGGATTCTTGCGGATCCACATAGGAGTGAGGAGCCACAACAACTGAAAAAAAGGAGCCACTCAGTGGCTGGTGAGACATCGCAAGGGACTGGAACATGGCCCACCAGGGGAACAATGGGGCACAGCAAGGACAGCTGATCCGCACCCCAATCAGTGTAGGACCACTCTGAGGAGACTGGTCAGGAATATAGAACTGCATCGGGTGCAGTCTGATGAAAAGACTCAGGCCCAGACCAGAGTTTCTACACAACCCAGGAGCACCAGATCTCATTAGACCTGGAAGTACCTATAAAGTCAATCATTAAAACCTGAACTGCACAAAAAGCCTTCCCTAGGGAATCGGCAGCAAAGTAGCAATTTAGCTCAACCACAGAGCTCAAGTACTGGTCCCCACAGGAAGTTCCCCCATTTTAGAAGTAAGCAAAGGACAACAAATTAGTTCCAGCACAGAGTTTAAGTGGTGGGAACAGCAAAAAATCCAACACAGAACTGACAGAAAAAACAAAATGCCCACAACCAGAGACAAAGTTTGATGTTAACTAGTAAAGGTCTCATTTCACCAAAGAACATGTATAACACCTAGGAAGACCAGAAGTCCCCTGGGCTACCAAACCAGAAAGCGGGGAGGGCTAGGAGTCTCTGCCATGCCCCTGACACCCACAACCAGTCCCAAGGGTGGGGGCTAAGGGCCTCAGCCACAACCTCCCAACACATGCAACCAGCCCAGCAACGACCACCCAGCTGCATCATGAAGGGCCCTGGGTTCCCAAGCTGGGGTGGTGGGAGGCGAGGGCTTCTGCCATACCCCACTAACATCTGTACCCAGCCCAGCAATGACCAAGCCACTGCTGGAAGACCTCTGGTCTCCCCTGTGGGAATGAGGGGGATGCCACAGGCTTCAATCCCACTTCTCCTCCTCCCTCCTTCTTCCATCCCATTTCCTTTCCCTTTCCCCTCTTCCCCTCCCTCCCAACTGCTCTGCAACATCACAGAATGTAAAAATATATATATCAATTAAAATAAATAAATAAATAATGGATAGAACCACCACACAGAAGACCAATATGGAAATAGAAGACTTGAACACTATAAACCTGAGAGGAATATATAGAACACTCCACCCAACAATAGCAAACTACACACTTTTCTCAAGGGCACATTCTCCAGGACAGACTATGTTTTAGGCAATAAAGCATGTCTCGATAATTGTAAAATCACACCAAGTATCTTCTCTGACCACAAAAGAATGAAGTTTGAAATCAATAACAGAAAAATAACTGGAAAATTCAAAATTATGCAGAAATTAAATATTATGCTTTTAAAAACTGATGTGTAAAAAGAAATTACAAGAAAAAGTAGGCAATAATTTGAGATGAATGAAAAGCATCCCAAAACTTGTGAAAACAGTGCTGTGAGGGAAACTTATAGTTGTAAAAGCTTACATTACAAAAGGTCTCTAAGTAACCTAACTGCATACCTCAAGGAACTAGACTCAAAGCTAGCAGAAGAATGGAAATAATGAAAATGAGAGCAGTGATAAACAAAATACAGAACAGAAAAACAACATAATCAACAAAACCAAAAATTCACTCTTGGAAAAGATCAACCTAACTCACAAACCTTTAGCTATCATGACTATAAAAAGAGAAGCCACAAATGACTAAAATCAGAAATACAAGTGGGGTATTACTGTCAATCACATCACCATAACAAAAAAAGGAAAGAAAAGACAATCCATAGACTGGGAAAAAATAGTTGTAAATCATATAAGTTATAGAGGAATAGAATATACCTGTTACAATTCAACAACAAACAACCCAACTCGAAAATGAAGAGACATTTTTCCAAAGATGATATAAAAATGGCCAATAAGAACCTGAAAAAAATGCTTAATGTCAATGGTCACCAGAGAAATGGAAATCAAAACTACAATGAGATACTTTACAGCCACCAGGATGGGAGAAACACAAAACAAAACAGAAAATACCAAGTACCGAAAGAATTGAAAACTGGTACTCAATTCATAGTGTTCATAGCAGCTCTATTCATAACAGCCAAAAGGTAGAAACAATCCAAATGTTCATCAACTAATAAATGGGTAAACAAATTGTGGTGTAACATGGAATAATACATGCTACATGGCTGAACCTCAGAAACATTTTGCTAAAGGAAGGAAGCCAGGCACAAAAGGTCACATATTGCATGATTCCATTTATATAAACTATTCAGAATAGGTAAATCCAGGGACAGAAAGCAGATTGGTGGTACCCAGGGGATGAAGAAAGGTGATAATGGGCTGATGAGAATGGCTATTTTTTTTTTTTTGGTAGCCGGCCAGGGATCAGGACCTTGACCTTGGTGTTTACAACTCTGTGCTCTAACTAACTAACCTAATAGGCCAGCCCTGAGAATGTGCTGCAACTAGATATAGGTGGTGGTGGCACAACATTGTGAATGCACTAAATGCTACTGAACTGCACACTTTATTTTTATTATTGTTATTTTTTTTGTGGCTGGCCAGCAAGGGGATCTGAACACTTGATTTTGGTGTTACCAGCGCCATGCTCTACCAAGTGAACTAACTGGCCAGCCCTTGAACTGTACACTTTAAAATGATTAATTTTATGTTATGTGAATATCAACTCAATAAAAAATTATTTAAATAAAAAAATTTCCTGAAAAGATTTACTATACCTTATCTTTCTTTCCTTTTTTTGTCTTCTCAGGTGGTGGCATTTTGGGAGCTGGTGGTGGTGGTGGAGGAGGAGGTGGTGGTGGTGGTGGTTCTATAATGGCAGTGGCAGGCACAGCACCTCGGGCCTGGACCGGCTGCAGTGAGGAACCAGTCACTCCAATTGGGACAGAACATTCAGCATAATTCATGATTGTAGGTGCTGTTGCTAGTCCAAGGTAATTTGACTGTAGATTCATTCCTCTGGACTGATGACCCATTCCTGCTGCTGGATGGCTAACTGGTATTGCCTGGTGTGCAACCCCTGTTGCCTGGTGTCCAATCCCTGTCGCCTGGTGACCTAACACAGAAAACATAAAATGATACTATAAAAAGGACATTTTGACAAGACCAGAAGCAAGGAAAGGAAGGAAATGGGAACTGGGGTTTAGGTCATCTACAAAATGATTCCAATACACCTCCTTCCTCAAAAAATATAGCCATATTTGCTAACAGTAAAATATTAATTTTGGAATACCTTAGCATTAAGGTACCTAAAACATCAAAATCACTGATGTACATAAATGCACAGAAAACAATCTGGAAGGATAATGCCAAACTGTTAACGGTGTCTTTGCAATCAAAAGCCTTTAACATTTTTTCAATATATGGCATCTAATGCTGGAAACAAAAAAAGAAACAGTACACTGAAAATCCACATTTTTTTTTGGTGGCTGGCCAGTATAGCAGGGAAAAAGCCATACTTTAATCACAATGCTTACTTGTAGAGATAGCTGATTGGCTGTAAAGGACAGGAGAACTACCAATGGTAGCTGATCTCTGAACCACTGCAGTACTAATTTCCGTAGCTTTTCTCTTTATCCCTTTAGTGGAAGGAGAACTAGAGATGGTAGAATCAACTGAACTCTGAAACACAAACATTCTGGTCAGTGGCTGAAGGCCCAAACTAAACATAGCTTCTAAAATAAAACATGTCAGTCATGCCCCAGTCCCCAAAACAATTCAGAATGCCAAAGAACATTACTTACCTGACTTGTTACAATGGTGGTTTGTGCTGAAGGTTTTAAAGGAGTATCCTCCTCTGTTCCTGGAGCAGGAGGCTCCTCACTTCCCTCATCCTCCATCTCTACCTCCTGTATCTCACCATCTTCTACAGGAGGAGGTGGGGGGGGAGGAGGAGGAGGAGGGGATTCTGGAGGTGGAGGTGGGGGTGGTGGCATTTCCAAGGGTAATGGAGGTTGAAGCACAGGCACATTGGACTGAAGGAGGGTCCAGAATGGAGTAAGTGGCATCAGTGATGAAGAAGAAACTTGACCAGAAAAGGATTCTTTACAAAGAGAACCTATGAAAACACGTAAGAGTCAGAGAAAAAGCAAAACAAAAACTCCATGGTTTACATTCATAGAAATGTTCAACTGATCCATGACACAAACATCAATAAGAACTTAGTACAGTGTGCAAAGTAGTTCGAACAGTAAGACTGGCTCCCCCTTCCCTAACAAAAATTTGTGTATTTGCAATACTGATTCCATGTGTTTTATTTTTTAGTGAGCTAGATAAGTGTGTGGGGATGACCCAAAGAAGTTCCCATGCAAAACATCCACAAAAATTCTACTCATTTTGATTAATTTGGGTTACTAAGTTTAAAAAAATCCATTAACAAGGTGCTATTACTATCATTCCTTTATATCTTTATGTAGTATACATACACTTGATAAATATCAGCAACAGAAATTAGAGAAAGTATTTTTTAGTTTTGTGATGAAAAAAGGATATTTAGGAGGACGAATTTGAAGTAAATGATAACTCAGATTTTGAAAAAGAGATGTTTGAAGATGCAGAGAATTTGAGATTGTTGTTGCTGAAGTCTGAATTAAGAAATTGCAGCTGAAAAGCTACAGGATTGGCTTTTCTCAAATTTTGCAAAAGCCACTATTGATAACTGTCCTTTCTCTGCTAGAAAAGCTTTAAAGATTAGAGAAAATAGGAGGATATACTTACTTGTATCCTTCCCCATCCCTCTTTATCGTCAATAGGGAAGTGTCACAATATATGGGACTATTAGATATATATCCCAGGAATGCTGAAGGGGATTTTCTCCCTAAAATCATAGAATTTAGGAGTAGAAGAGACATGAGAAATCATCTAGTTCAACCTCCTCATTTTAAAGGTAATGAAACCCAGGTCTGACTCCTAGTCTACTGCTTTCTATATTACCAAGATGTCCCAGTGAAATATCAGGAGTCCAACAGCTTTAGAAATTTCATATAAACCTCACTTTTCATGGAGTAGATATCCAGATACAGTCACCTATTAAATTTCATCATCTAAAGTGGTGCATTAAATAGGGCCTGATTATGAAAGGCTTAGGCAAGGAAAAGGCCATTTATATTACTTAGCTTAAAAGACCTAGACTACACTGGCAATCAAGGTAAAATCAAAGTGATCACACGCCATTTGGCTCTTAAAGCAGCTTTACCTTTTATTGAACAGATAGATGACACATTGTGTAAAAGACTTTAAGAACATAACTCACATTGTTTCTGTAATTATTTTGAGATGTTGCTTCCTGGTAAGGAAAAAGGCACTAAAGAAAAAGCCATGAATGCAGTTTTCCAGCTAAAAGACTTCAAATGATTCATTAAACTTTTGTATTTGGCCATATCTAGTATCAATTTATACACTAACTTTTAGACAAAGTCTGGGCACAGCCAGGCAGCCAACATTATATAACAGTACATCAAGACTACATCAGAACTAAAGTAATAAACACTGACGATTAAAAACTTACTGATTACAGATTACACTACTTTCCACTAAACTGACCACAACTATAATAGGTAAATATAATTCAGATTTTATAATATTGGTAGGCTTATCATCTAGAAGCATAATGCAATACACTTATGATGGTGACACGCTGCTATGTGGAGGAACACAAGGAAACACAGTAAGTTCAAGGTTAATGATATGGCTTACAACCTCCAGCAAAGCTAACTAATCACAATGAACTAAACCGTGTAAATATGAGATTAAACTAAACTTGATAAACTTAGCTGCAATAAGGAATATTTTTACAATTAATACTTGAATCCCAAACTAAGTTAAAACAGAAAAGCTGTGTCTTAACATTGATAATTTTCTCCTTTAGCTTAAATAAAAAGAACTTCGAGAAATCCTAGTTTGAATATCCATGGATGTCCCATTATAGTGATGCTCGTTTCTAAATTTAATCCAGTTGGGCTGGTCTGATGGTAGTACGTTATCAGAACTTATAACCATCAGTGTCATTAAAGTTCATATACAACCCTCTGGCTTCAAAATAAATAAATAAATTTAATCCAGTTGCTATTTTTGCCATTTAAGAGAACATTTAAGTCTGAAGTCCAAGAAGAAATGAAAATGGCTTTCACAGCTTTTATTATGCACTAAAGGATTTAAAACCTACAAGCTTAAAGATAGAATAGTGTCGGGATGCTAATTTTTAATTCTTTAAGAACCTTTCTTCCCTTAGAATCTTTATTTCTTTATTTTTATTTTTTGGCAGCTGGCTGTTATGGAGATCCAAACCCTTGACCCTGATGTTATAACACTGCAATCTAACCAACTGAGCTAACGGGGTCAGCACCCAGCATCTTTATTTCTATTTATAGGTAGCATTCCTTTATTTTCCCCCCAAAGAGAAATTAATGCTTGCTACTTTGAATCAAGAGGCTAGTTTAGCAATTTAAAGCAAGAAACTACACAAATAATAGTTCGATAGAGATTAAAATGAAAAAGCAGCTAAATTTTAACCTGTGATAACCAGCAAAACACACATGTTGGATATCTTGAAATATCACCCCACCTTTAGAGACATGATGTTAAATGCAAACACTGAAACAATGAACAAGGATTAAAATGATTTAGAAAAATGTACTGGCCAGCCGCCAAAACAAACACACGCACACAAAAGTGATTTAGAAAAATGAACAGAAATTTGAAACTTCCTTGGTTCCTCATAGTACAGTAATTTTTCTTATTTTATTTTTTTTTAATTAAAAAAAAATTTTTTTAAAGATGACCAGTAAGGGGATCTTAACCCTTGACTTGTTGTTGTCAGCACCACGCTCTCCCAAGTGAGCAAACAGGCCATCCCTATATAGGGATCCAAACCCGTCGCCTTGGTGTTATCAGCACCACACTCTCCCAAGTGAGCCATGGACCGGCCCTGTAATTTTTCTTCTTTAAAAGATAGTTTTGAAAATAAATAAATAAATAAATAAATAAATAAAAGATAGTTTTGGGCACTGCTGAACCACCAAAGAGCATATATAACAAACTCTCTTTATAAGCTTACGACAATTATCAGTATTGCTCTTAAATCCCAAAGACCTTGGAATAAGATGTGGATTTATTTAGGTCAAGTTTATCATGTGGTTCTAGAGGCTCTTGATAAAGAGAATAAGCATACTGAATATTAAGAATATAAGCTTGTTTATCAGTGGCTTTTTCCTATACCACAACTAGTTTTGTTTTAACCAAGGAGGACGGTCTCAAGATCTACCTTTTACCGGACAGCACCATGTGTGTCATCAACAAAGAGAAAATAGCTTAATACTTAACTTTAAAGTGTTCCCAGAACACTCAGAGGTGGTAAATGTGGAATAAACAACTTTGGAACACATGAGAAAGGGACATTAGACAGTGTTCAGGAGTGGAATCACCTACACAGAACCAACTACCATGCCTCTTCAGTTCATTAATTAATAAAAAGCAAACAAACAAAAATCTATTATTAGACATGTCTATCACTACTACCAAAAGAGGGGGAAAGTATTCAAAAGAAAACTTCCTCATGAAAAAGAGAAGTGAAATACCCTGTAACTTTAGAAAATACACTTCTGAAATGTAAAGTAGAATAAATAACACTTTTGCTATGTTCTAAAATTTTGCTGCACTGTTATGTGGCTTTTAATTTAAGGTGGTCAGATGACAATTCCAAGGCTATTTAATAAGTTAACAAAATCATTTGATACATGACCTGTTTTATTTGGTACATTATCAGAACTTTCCTGCTGGGATCTGGGAGCCAGTGGAGTACAAAGAATTATTTTTGATAAGGAGAGGACAAAAGAAATTCAGCTCTTTACTCTCTATAGTACCAACAAATTTCACGTTTATTTTCAAAGGTCTATTACTTTAAAAACCATTCACACACTCTTGCCTTCAGATGCCATCACTTTAACAGCTACCAGTTTTTAAGATCAAAAGGTTGTTAATCATAGTCTTGACTATGCTTGACTATTCTCTTACATTTGTCATTACAAAAAAGATATACTTAGAGGGGAAAAAATGTATCTTCTTTCACAATGTGGCAATCACGTTGTGGCTCTTTATTTTTTTGGTGACTGGCTGGTATAGGGATCAAACCCTAGACGTTGGTATTATCAGCACCACATTTTAACCAACGAGCCAGCCCAATTGTGGCTCTTCTCAAGGGTTATCAGATCCTCAGAGTAACTGAGGAGCTATGAAAGCCTATTTTTTAAAAAAAAATGTATAAAACTAAACTAAATTCCTCTACAAGTACCTTAAATAGGATAAGCCATCCTATTCCTGATTGTTTTATACTACAATACTGCTGGTGATTTTCAATTATCAATTATTTTGCTTCTCTGAAAAAAAAGTATAGTGGTAGTTTCAGATCATTTCTTCAAATCGTTTTGTACAACCTTACTTCTTTTAAGATTAGTGGATTTAAGAAATGAGACTGCAATAGCAATAGACTAAGAAATGTAGAGCAAATCTCATAATCATGCCACACAGATATTGACAGTTCAACTATCTAGTTCCTTAACATTAATTAGCATTCCTGCTTTTAGAGATCCACAGTTTCATCTGTGGCATGACAGAATGATTATAGGACCATCTTTTCCTTTATTTGGTTTTTGGTAGCTGACCTTAAGGGGATCCAAACCCTTGACCTTGGTGTTATCAGCAACAGCTCTAATCAAGTGAGCTAATCAGCCAGCCTGAATATCTTTTCAAATCAAAACATACTGGCTCATCTTTTTGTTTTTGAGCAGAGTCTGATATTTGATTATCAACAGTATGCTGATTTCCAAGAAGCCACTGTCTTAATTTCTTTCAGTATAACTCACGCATTCTTTTTTTCATTCAAGCCACTATTTTTCAATTAGAAGCTTATGTTATGAGATAAATTCTTTTCTTCTTTCATGATACAAATTAGTACAAGTTCTTCTCTATAATCATTTCTGTCTAATTAATAAAGGATAAATTGTCCCACCTGTGGC